CATTGACAGTTTTTTTTTTCCCTTACAAGAAAATACTTAACATTGACTAAAAGCATGAAGAAAGCCAGTGAATGTGGCAGCAACAGGAAAGCTATTAAGAATAGTAACTGGCTCAACTTTTGAGTCTTGAATTTTCTGCTACATCAAAGGTTAAAAGGCAGAATTAACTGTTTACACTGAACTGCCTTTACAGCCATTTGTAGTTGGAGCAATTCAGTGAGACATGCACACAATACTTAAGAACAATCATCTCAGATTGAGGACTTGCAAAGGAAAGAGGCTAAACACCTATTACTCTGAGCTTCTACTGTGCATTCGGTTGGGAAAAAGGACACTTTGAAAATGTTTCTCAGGGTTTTTACACAACTGCCTTCACGCAACTGTCCTCCTATCTCATTTTCTGTAACGCAAGTGAGTAGCTAAGATTTCCCTCTCTACAGCTACATGGACAATTGCTGCAAGCCATAATGGCTATTATGTTACCACCTGGATCAAAGGTGTCTTGCCTATGAATTATCAGTTACTGAAAAACAACACGGAGTCACAACTACTATGGGAACCAGAATACTAAGCTAGAATGTCCCAAAGGTGCTTTTTTTTTTGAAAGGCCACTGAAAATGTTTTGCTTCTCATCCAAGAATCTTCTGGATTATTCTGGATAAAAAGGACCATTTGTTTGGAAGAGACTTAACAGAGGCCATCTATGTTAACATGGAGGAGCCTTCTCTCAACAGAGGAGGAAAGATAAGACACTACCTGTCTCCTGCCTACAATATTGTCCCATGATGGCGAACCTATGGCATGTGTGCCAAAGCTGGCATGCAGAGCTATTTGTGCTGGCACGTGAGCTGCAGGCAAACTTACCTCACTGTGTATGCGCGCAACTGCCAGCTGATTTTCGGCCTCCCAGAGGTCTGAGGAAAGCCTTTGCAGGCCGAAAAACAAGCCCATTTTGTCATTTCCTGTATTTCTGGAAATACCGGAAGTGATGAAATGGGCCCATTTTTCGGCCTGCAAAGGCTACAGAAGTTTTCTTTAAGCCTCTGGGAGGCCAAAAAGGCCTCAAATGGGCTGAAAATCAGCTGGGAAGTGCAGTGCAGGTAAGGGGGTGGTGGCGGGGGATGGCACATGCATGTGCAGGGGGAGTGGGGGGGCGTGCATTGCCTTCTGGGTGCTGGCAGGTGAGCGCACGCACACTTTTTGGCACAGGAGCCCAAAAAGTTTAGCGACCACTGATATAGTCCTTTCTGAAGTTCTGAGAAGATTCTACCTTCATTTGCAATCTGATACAGTTGATCCTGAGGGGTTAGATAAACCCCCAAATGGCCTCAAGAGCTCTTAGGGAGAGTGATAATGACCTGATGACTGCAGAGAAAATGCAATCTTCCACGCCCTTCCCCCCTATTCCTGTTAGAACTAATCTTTCCATCGTGCCTACTATCCCCGCCAGAAGCAAAGAAGCTTCTTGGATGACAAGGAAAACATCGCTGTTTCCTTCCTCAGGGGAAAAATAGTCTGGTTGCCTTTTGGGAAAAAAAAAAAAAACAGTTTTGGGACAGCTATAACTCGGATGAATGAGTATCTCCACAGACACTAAGATAGAAGGGTATGTGTGGCATGATTTGGAAGAGTTCCTAAGGAACTCTGAAATAGCTTTACTGCTGTTTGATGCAAATGAAAACAGCCCTGTTGTCCTAATATTATTCCTGCATATATTTTTTTCCTTTTTCTAATTTCTTCTGTTGAATGGGAGAAAATCTCCTTTTAAAATCTCCTTTTAAAGAGAAGAGAAAAAAAAATCATTGACATTTGTAGGAGGTAAGATGGTTTCCTCGCCAAGTAATTGCGAGAAGATTGATGAGCATGTTTCCCTTTTTTCACTGGGCAATCACCCTTTCAACAGCCTTATTAGGTTCCGGCATGTATTTCAATAAAATTCCTAAGAAAGAAATCAGAAGGAAATGTGTCTCATTGGGCAGTCAGGGTGAGCCATGGAAATATATGCATGCATGCATACTTTCACACACACACACACACACACACACACACACACACACACACACACACACACATATCAGAAAACAAAACCAACTATTGCCTTCTCCATTATGTCCTTTGATCAAGTGCACTGAAAAGCATTGTAAAGAAATTCAAAAGAAAATACTCAAGCACTCTGAACAAAATGTAGAAAACAGGCATTTCTTTTGCTAGGGGAAAAAAACACTTTTTTTTAGAAAACCCTTTTGAAAACTCACGCAGACTTCACTATAGCATTATAAAATGATAGCAAACTAAGCATGGGTTTCTTTTAAAACCAGGCAGTAGGGAAAATTACTTCAAGCACCATTCATGGGAAGGATTAGATGGACTAATTATTATTATTTTTTTAATTCAAGCTAGTAAAATTAATGGACCCAAATCTGATAGTGGTTTGGGCATCCCCATCTACTCCTATCTACTGAATCATTGTTTTTATAAGGGGGGAATCACATTGGCATAAAACAAAATTCCACTGATCTTGATTACTGTGAGAAGAAAGTAAATGGAAACGAGTCTCGAATAATCACTGTCACCTCTCAGTCCATAAAATATTATCTTCTCATTCAGTGTTCTCCATAACAAGCTATTCTGATCTCAAAATGACATCGTCACAATTTCATTGCATCAGTGGTTGCATCATTTCCACCATTACAGAATCACATGCACGTCGTTATTGGCTTTCATCCCATCTTGGGGTGCTCATCTTCTTATTTTGCAAACATCTCAGTCAAAAGATGAGGTGCTGACAACTCTACTCCTGCTCCATATAATAAGTCTCCAGATCATCACCATCTTCTCTATAGTCGCTGAAACTCAAACTAGGAAAGGATGAAGAAATAGTGATATATTGCGTAAACTTCCTGCCAAGTTTTTTTTTTTTTTTTTTTGCGAGCTTCAAGAAAAATCTTATTTTCCTGATGATAGAAATGTACAGCTTAACTCAATAAACTTTTCATTTGATGAACAACATCTTACCCAGGAAGCTATCTTTCATATGCTTTGCTTTGAATAGTAGCCATTGTTAACATTCACTCAATATTCCGTATTTTCTTTGTTCTTTTCTCTTTTTAGTGCCAAGTGTTTGCATTTTCTTGCCAACATGGTGGCAAAAACATGTAAATGTCTAAGCCATAGCCTTTCAGTGCCATGGGGTATAATTAAAGGAGCTTAACATATTAAGCACACGTTTGAGTCATGGACACCAACACAATAATGGAGAACTCCTATGCCAATTTCGACAGAAGCAGTTGAAAGGAGCAAAGGCATTCAAACTACAGAAGAGCTGGAATTGACAAGCCAGCTCAATCTCAACTTTACAAATGCTTCTGGGCCCACTCCAGTTAGTACAGACGATTGCTTTTTAGAGCTGATTGTGCTGGCTGTCAGAAAAAGAGCATCATTGGCCTCTTACACTCAGTGTGGATGGCTGTACTTCTGCTTTAAAACTGCAATAGGACAGTCTATTGTTGTTAGATCCAAGACATGACACAACACTGAGAATAAAGCATCCAGGCATTTTTCCAAGTAAACATTTATGGGCAGATAGCTTTGACAGCTTTATAGAAATTGCTGAAAGTCACATTGTTGGCTACCTTCAAATGAAACAAAATTTCCTCGGAATGTCTATGGGCATGTATACAGAGAGAGAAAGAGACAGAGAGAAAATTTGCAAAGGAAACTGAGAAATGGTAAACAGGACTTTACAAAACCTTCTTTGGTTCCTAGTTAGCATGGTGAATAGCGAGGAACATGGAAAGATTTCATTTCTCATTTGAAATGTCACAATCTGTCATTATTATATAATTATATTTCCTGTACTTTATTCTAATAATTCTGTGAAGTAACAGGCTATTAAAAAATATGATGGCTCAGATCATGTCATTTATTTTCACAACAATGTGTGGATTTGAAGCTGGGTCTACATGATTCTGTCCACCTTTATTATAATGTGAAAAAGATCTATAAAGCAGCAGACTTTATTTGTGCAATTTAATTAATATTCATTTTTTATCAAAATCTGAAGGATGAATTTGAAATCTTCAGGTATTCTCCTTGAAGTAGATTAAACTGAAAGCTTAAGATCATGGAAGGTATTTTCAGACTAATTAATGATCACTGTAGTCCAAATAAGCAGTTTTTACTGATAGGGAAACTGATGGGTCAGTTCATATTTGATATGCCACATGGTTGAACATGTTCTTATCTATTAATTTGAAGTGACATTTGCATTTATCTCTATTAAAAAGAAGCCAACTGGATATTTGTTTCTCAATATATAGATCATTGTGTCTATCAAAATTTCTAACTGCCCTCCACTCCAGTTAGCAAATGTCACCTTGTCCAACAATTGAGCCGTCCTGCCAACTATAACTTTGTGCAAGAATTCTCACCAAACAACATATTCCAGTATGCAAAGCTTCATTACCAGAAAGGTGTTTTTGTCCCAAAAAGTAGTCCCAACAAATCTCCCCTATGTTTTCAGTGCTTCTTATTTTGCTTTACCTTCTCTTAGTTCAAACAGCTAATTGAGTAACACCCAACAATGGACTTTTTGCTCTCAGATACATTTTTCATAAAATCACTGTGAGCTAATTATATTTCAAAAGAAGTGGGCGTATAGGAGATGTTAACATGTAACCATAGATCCTAAGTGCTGCACATGAACTAGGGGAAAAAAAAGAAATTATCCAGATAGATAAATATTAACCTAACACTAATGATGTCACAAAGAAGTGCTGGAACAAATATTGATAAACAGTTTCAGCAACACTATTCTCACAACACCTGAACTGTAATGCAAAACAACTTAATTGTTCACCAAACAATTCAGCTTTCAGAGGGATGAGAAATAATTGTTTGGAAAAGAAAGCTCACTCAAACACAAATCTGAAAATGCAAAAGCCGGGTGGAACAAAACGCTTTGTGAAGAAATGTGGAAAATCTCATTCTGTCATACATACCTACAAGAGACATTTCTGGAACAGTTGCATGATATGGGCCATCTACAAATTCTGGTGGGTTGTCATTAATATCTTGGACCTTAATAATGAATTCTGAAGGAGGCTCCAGTGGTTTGTTTGTATCCCTATCGACTGCTTGAGCAGTCAACGTGTACTCTGCTTTTTCCTCCCGGTCAAGTCTTTTCATGGCATGGATGTCTCCTGTCTTGTCATTGATCACAAAAATAGTCCCAGCACCATCGCCTGACAAGATGTACTTGATCTTACTGCTTCCTGGATCCATGTCCGTGTGTAGCTGAAATTATAAATAAGCAATTTGTTTATTGTATTCATTCAGCTCCCCAGCTTTCTCCCCTTCCCCACTGCATATGGTATTTTTATCCAAGATCTATTGAACAGTCTTAAAATACACGTTATAAAATTTGCATCCATGTTGAAAATCGTACATATGTTTCTGCAAAGGTGTAAATCACTCTGTTTAGTCCAACCAACTGTTCTATCAATGCCTTCTGTTAGCCCTCAGAGATAAGCAACATTTCAAAGCACCTCTAATGCATCTGTGAACCTATAAGAAAGTAATGTTCATTAACAACTTTCTTACTCAGGCATTTATGTGGGAAAGTTTTGACTTTCAGTTTTCGGGGGACAGGGTTATATCTGAAGACAGCCAAATTTGATCTTATTTGTTTTGCTTAATTTGAGTTCTGGCAAAGGGTTATTTAATCTAATGATTAGAATAAAAAGGAAAGATAGAAGTATTATTTCTGATGAACTGTCAAACTGAAAATCAGCTAAGATAGGATTCTTTGTGAGCATGCTGCCTGAATAGTAAGTTACTCTCTATTCTCTGGATATTATGTATTTTCATTGGAATCATGATTAATCACTTTTCAAGTACTTTCCAGAGCTTGAGGATTTACTCATCTCTGCAAACTGGTCTTTTGATTTCTAGCAGCACACTGTCAATTTCACAGCAGCTTACATTACTACATACGAGGACAGTTTTGTCATGTTTCCCAACCACTGACTCTCTTCTCGTTCTCATAAGGATACAGACACAAACAGAAATACTAAATACTAAATATATCTTTGCATCACCAATGAATGAAATCTGTTTCTATTTAATGATTCCAAAACACTAACTGGTCATTAGAAATATGTGGAGATATTAAAAGTCTAGCTATCCAGTCTAGATGAAATAGCTTTTCTTTCTTCATTGGAAAGGCTATGTAGGTTATATAGATACGGGAGCTTCACACTGTTGAACCCTGGTTGAAGATGTTACTAAATTCTTCAATTCAATTCAATTCAGTTTATTATAGTCATAGACCAAATTCTTCAATGTACTTCATGATGATTCTAGATAAGTTTATTAGATTTAAACATATTTATCTTGTTTATTTCACAAAGAGCCACCTGAAATGTGAAATATTAGATAACAGCAGAAAGAAAAACAAGCTTTTCTTTTTTCCTAATAAATCTTCACTTTTGCTGCTGGAAGTCTAAACACAAGCTAATCTATCAATTCATTTCCTCCTTAATGTTAGTAATTCACTACGACTTTAATTATTTCCTCCTGTTAAAATCAATAATACATGTGGCAAAAAAAAAATAATTAAATGCATTATCAAGCCAGCTATATGAAACTCCCAAGTCATTTTTTTAAATAATAAACTAATTATAGAAAAATAATAAAACCATCTTTAAGAATGTTTCAAAATCTATGTCACTTTTCCCATTTTTTTAAAGTCATTAACCGTACTAATTTTATCTCCCAGGATGTAATTTCTTAAGTATCATAAAATATGTATGAGGATGTAAAGTCATTGTTAGGATTCAAAATTCTTTTCTCATGTCAAAGTTAAAGATAATTAGGTTCATAATTATGTGGGCCCACAATGAACAATAGAAAAGAATATAGGATGAGTTTCCACTACTGCTATTGTAGAGATATACACTTTTTTTAAAAAAAGTACCTACTATTTGTATCTGTAGCAATATCTTTGGGTTCTAGTTTCCAGCAAAGGAATTTAAGATTATTATATTGGATGGGTTAGGAATTAAATGTATTTCCATAAATCTGCATATTACCCTTTGAAGACTGAGGTTGCTTTTTCCAGTTGCCTATTTCAGATGATCAACCTTCATAATGCATGCATATATCCACAAGAGTACAGGGAGTACTCCAGTTACAATAGTTCACTTAATGATCATTCGGTTACAAATGGCACTGAAAGAAGTGACTTATGATCATTTTTCACACTTAGGACCATTACAGCATCCCCATGGTGATGTCATCAAAATTCAGACACTTGGCAACTAACTCATATTTCTGGTGATATTGTCCTGGGGTTTGTCATGCCCCTGTTGGAATCTGATTCGGAGGGGGAGGCCGAGCAGCTGATAGGGAGTGGGACTGTGGCTCCATTGGCTGTGGAAGAAACTGGGGAAGGGCAAAGGCCGGCTGGGCAGAGCAGGTAGAGCAGGGGAGAGGGAATTCAGAGGAAGATCCAGGCCCGCCCCCTCTTCATCCTAGGTTGCATGGCTTATGGGGGAGGAAAGGGCCCCAATTCCCTTCATTAGCTGCAGCTGGGGAAAAAAGTGTTTAAAAAGAGAAGCAAAGTTGTTGTGAGCAAATTGTAAATTATCTGGTATAGTTGAGGCTTATCTGGGTTCCTGGCATCTTCCCAACTGTGTGTGTTTTGCTGGGCTTTCAAGTCTGAAAGTCTTTCGCTTGCCCTGTCAAGTTAATTACTATATCATGGTTTGGGTGGGTTTTTATTTACAATTTGTATGTACCTTGTTTTAGACTGAATTTTCTCCAGTTAAAGGCTGTTCCTGGGAGAGTTTTTTCTCCAGCCGAAGGTAACCTGGACATCGGGGGCAAAGTTGGAGGTATTAAAAGGAATATTCTGACTTATGTGACTGTGTTGCCTTTGTGCCACACCCTGGCTCATCACAGGGTCAAATTATCAACTTTTGCAACCTTTTGACAAGCAAAGTCAAGGGAAAGCCAGATTCATTTTACAACCGTGCTACTCATTTAACAACTGCAGTGATTCACAACAATTGTGGCAAGAAATGAGGCAAAATACACTTAAATGTCTCCCTTAGCAACATAAACTTTGGGCTCCATTGTGGTCGTAAACTAGGACTATCTATATATAGTATACCAAAACTATCTTCATCTTGACTAGGGTCATAGCTGCTCTACAAACAATCATTTATTTGCTCATTATACTAAGGATAACATCAGGGCTGTCTTAACAGCATTATGGGCCCCGGGCAAAGCAATGTACTGGGGCCCCTACGTCAACTACTCACATGAATAAAAATGTAAATGTTCAATAAAATTAAACATATATTTGAATGTTAGTATTAATAAAAAATGCAGTAAAATGTAATAAATATATTGCTGTATTTATATGATACATTGAAGGGTTAACATACACAGATTAGTATGGGGCCCCTATGCTCGTGGGGCCCATGGGAAAGTGCCCATCAGTCCCATGGTTAAGACAGCCCTGGACAACATGACTCATTTTTGGCTTGGTATACTATTTACAAAACTGTGATGTCTTGGGTGTGTTGGAAACAAACCATGATAGCTGGGTGCACTGCAGGCATCCATATAATTTTAGGAGGTTTATTAAAATGTTGCAAAAATGATGATTCAGTACAACCTTTGACTCAGTCACCATCTCAAAATGGTTTCAACTAATTCCTACATCCCCTTTCCCATTTGATATCTTTCAAAGGCGATGGAAGGATTAGCTGCAATTTTACTCCAACCAGATTATGTTCTATCACCACAGACTCATTCAATGATGACAAAATGAATCATCTGAGACACTGAAGTTCTATCGCAGAAGAATATACAGTAAGTATGTGTACAAAACACTCCCAGTTAGAGGTAAATGTTTGTTTAATAAAAAGGGAGAACAAGAGGACTTTTATAAACCTTTGTGAGACAGAAAGTTGTCATGACAGTCTTAATAAAAGTCAACAATACAAAGGCTCAATACTATTAAAATATGTATTATATTTAAAGCCCCGGTAGCTTCTTTAATCTCTGTAGAAATAAACAAATACAGATCACATTGGGGATCTGAGCTTCTCCCTCATCCAAAAGGAAACAAACTATGAACAATTTTAAAAAACAAATATGCACACAAAATAATACAAAACATTTGAGAATTGGATACACAATTCCAGGTGAACACAGAAGAAGGTGAGATATCAGATGAAATAGCTTTACAATTCTCTCCTGTAAAACTTTCTTCAACTGAAGCTCAACTTCTAATGGCTTCATGGACATGTCCATCTCATTTTTTTTCCCTGGCAACAATATAAAAGTAGTTTGCCATCACCTTTTCCAGAAACATTTCTTTCAAATTTCTTACTCTAGAATTACTCCATTTAAGGAGTAATTATCTAAATAAGATTCATCCTGCTCAACTTTTCAAGATAGACTAAGGTTAGAAACAAATTGGTTTATTGTTTTTTTTTCTTCTTTTCTCTTCTCTCTCATTCTGTGTTGATCCTTGCAAACTACCAAACTATTTGAGTACTAAGAAGCCTAGGTTGTAAAGGTTTGAATTGGCTACTTGTGTTATATTATCACAATTTGGGTGCTGTTTCAGGCTGGGATTATGAGGTGTACTTGTTCCATGGATCACACATTACACTATTACATTATTAAATGTTTCAATTCAGCCACATTGTAAAGTTTATTGTTTAGTATAAATATACATCTAAGCTTAGTAACCTATTCTACAACTTGTAAGAAAATAGCTTATTCTACTTGTCAGTAAGCAAATTATAGTTTTGCATGCTTGCTTCTTCAGAATCTTTCAAAATATCCATCTAGCTTTCTTCCAGAAGACGTTAACTTTTAAAAGAACCAGTGGCTTGTTCAAGGAACAATAGATCATACTGAATTGGAACTTCAATTTGGAGGAGAAATTTCCTCCCTTGAAAATAAATGAATTACTGTTTCCCTTGAATGCTTATGCTGGTAAATGATCATTTAAAGGATATGTCACTGATGAATGCATTTATCATTCTTTAGGTGCCAAAAGTCACCGGTGGTAGTATAATATGTTCTCCTTGCCACCTAATGGCTTTTCCTCTATTGAGTGAATACAGAAATCATAAAGGACAAATAAGAATAATAAAGATAGGGATAAGAGCACAGCATGAAGAGGTTGTTGAATTATTTGAAGCAGTGGTGTATATTAATAGATTCTAAAGGTGTTGACATCTCTCACTTTTGAGCTTGTAAGCTTAGACTAC